GCTCACACTTTCCGCACAGTGATACCCGCGAAGCGGATCCCGGGAGATTCGGCTGCGAGTGCCCCGGGGGCCCCCTTCTGAAGTCCCTCCCCCACGGCCTGCAGCTCACTGGAGCATGGATCTCGTTCCCCAGTCTGGTGCCCCCAGGAGCCCATCACGAGAGCGCTGTTGGCGCGCAGGTGAGGCCCGCTGAAAAGGCACCGCGGCGCACGGCAGGTACAGCATTGCCGATTTGGGGCTGATGCTGGACGGGCGCGAGATGCCAATGTGCATTGCGCTCGTGCCTTCGGCGACGAGGCCAGCCCCGAGGCCGCATAAGTAGGCCGAGGAGCTCGCCCCTCCCAGCAATTCGAAGGCTGGAGTTTCATACCCACCAGTGGCAACACTCACGGTCACACGCGCACGCGTACACACGTACATCTTGTATATGATTATATATATATATGTATATACACACGTGCATTGGGGGCTTGGCCTTGTCGAGGTGTGGGTGCGAAGTGTGCTTTCTGCGTTGGAATCACCCGCTTTGGTCCCAAACTCCCGAGGCCAAGTGTTCCTTTCCCTCTCGCCCCCTCCTTCTCACCACCCCCCTCCCTCTATGGCATGACGAGGATGGGTCCAGAGGGAAACGGGTGCTGGACCCTCGGAAAGGTGGGATGAAGAGAGGTGGAGGAGGAGGGAGGAGGGGGCAGGTGGACCGAGGCAGGGGGTGTGAGGAGCTCGTGGAGGGGGGAGGAGGAGGAGGAGGAGGAGGAGAGGAGGAGGGAGGAGGAGGGGAGGAGGAGGAGAGGAGAGGAGGAGGAGGGGTGGGAGGAGGAGGAGAGGAGGAGAGGAGGAGGAAAGGAGGAGGAGGTTCAGACTCAACAAAAACAAGACCCGAGAAAGTCATGCACGACGAATTCACGACACGGGACCCCTCAGGATCCCCAAAGCGTAGGCCGATCCTGGGTTTAACTCCAGGCTCTTCCCACGCCGACCTGGGCGCATGAAGCCCGCCTCCAGGTCGAAGGCGGCGTCCATGACGTGCACGGCCCGCGCTCGCAGCGCCCGCCGCTGCGTCCCCAGGGGCGCGCGGGCCGCGGCAGCGGGCCGCGCTGTCTGCCGCCTCGCCCGCCACCGCCTCCTCGCCGAAGGCGCGGGCGAAGGCGGCGCCCAGGCGAGCTCAGCCGCTCCGCGCCTCGGGGGCCTCCGCGTGGGAGGCCGCGCGGACTCCAGCGAGCTCGCCGATAATCTCCTCCGCCTCTCGGATGGACGCCGTGCCCTGCTGCTCGTCCAGGTCGCCGTAGCACGACCGCAGGGCGGCGTCGTACTGCAACGCTGCCACACGGAGGGCGGCGGTGTCGCGCAGCACGTCGCTCATCCGAGGCCCAAGCAGCAGCAGGCAGGCACCCTTCGCCTCAGTGCCGCCACGGCAAAGCAGCCTGCGCGCAGCGGCCGCTTCCCGGTGCGCACTGCGAAGTAGCACTTCTGCATGCTCCATTTCATTCGCGAGCAGCACGCACAGACCATCGGTGACCTTGTCGTCGCTGTCATTCCTCTGCAGGACGGGCTTCTCATGGCCATCCAAGAGGCCGCGGCCTTTCACTGCCGTCTTGGTCTTCTCTGTAGTCAGCACCTTCACGATGCCTGCCATGCTATTATCCACTTGCCTTGAGACCGCCGCCTGCAGCATGGGGGGGGCGCCACCCTCCACGGCCGCGGCGTCCCTCAGGCTCTGGCCTTCCTTCTCGGAGGGCTGCGCCGAGCTCGCGAGGGGCGTGACAGGGGCTTCAAAGATCCGCTCGCCCTCCACGTCGTTCCTGGGCGCTCGTGGCGTCCCCGTGCATCGCGGAAGCCCGCTGGGTGGGCCGCCGATGTCCGAGAAGACAGCCGCTCGACAGCGGCTCCCAGCGTCCCGCAGGGACGAAAGCTGCAGCCTCCGCCCGTAGCCCGTGACCATTGGTTGGAGTTGCCGCCTGCCGAGGGCCACCCGCCGCTGCCGAGGGCTGGCCACCTCCAGCGCCAGGGGCCCCGAGCGAAGGCCGTGCTGCGCAGCCCGCAGGGTACGCACGTCCGCCGTCGCCAGCGACACCACCCCCCGCGCGGCGGCGTGGAGGGCCACGTTGCTGCGGAGCCCGTCTAGCTATGCAGGCGCCACTCCGCGAGCGATCGCGGAGAGCGCTGGCAGAAGAGCCCGAACTCGATCGGCGACACCAGCATCGCCGACCAGCATGCCGAAGGCCTTCTCCAGCTCCTGCACGCGCGCCAGGGCCGCCGCCAGACCGGAGTCTGCCACAGCCACCGCGCGCCGCCTCGCAGCCTTGCGCTCGGCCCGCGAGCGCCTCTTCACAAAGGGATCGCCATCCAGCGGCGACCCCGCCCGCGCCATCTTCTTCAAGCAGCTGCACCTGGGCTGGCCATGAGCGGAGGCAAATGGCAACCAGGGGGCTTGGGGCAGGCATGAGCCAAAATGGCTACGGAGGGAGGAGGAGGAGGAGGAGGAGGAGGAGGAGGAGGAGGA